GGGGAGGGACTTGTTAGGATATCGAGTTGTTATCCTTTTTAGGATAACAACAGGACTAGGGGGAATGGGGCAAAGCTGGAAGTGGGTAGATTCAGGCTGGATGTGAGGAAGAAGTTCTTCCCCATGAGAGTGGTGAGACCCTGGAATGGGTTGCCCAGGGAGGTGGTTGAGGCCCCATCCCTGGGGCTCTTTAAGGCCAGGCTGGAGGAGGCTCTGGGCAGCCTGATCTAGTGGGAGGTGTCCCTGCTCATGGCAGAGGGGTTGGAACTGGGTGATCCTTGTGGTCCCTTCCAACCCTAACAGATTCTGATCTATTTTAGCAGAGGACTTTAGGGCCCTAATGGCTCAATGGTTGGACTTGGTGATCTTGGAGGTCCCTTCCAACCTAAAGGATTCTATGATTCTCTGATTCTATGAATCAGTACAAGAGGCAAATATACTCTGAACCAGGTTATGCTTGCTCAGTGAGTATGTATGGAAGCACAAAAAGGACTGTCCTTGAAGGAAAGGCATATATGTTTCTTGTCTTTGCTTAAATCTGACTTGCTGTTTTGAAGCACATCCTTTTAAAAAGCTCCTGCTGTTGTGTTTTTTCTCCTATACGTTTGTTACAACTTGGCTCATCACTTGAGTCACACTAATTTCTGCAGTTCTGCTGGGTTAGTATTCAAAAATGTTTTTTCTGTTTGATAATCTTTCCAGCTAGGGTCTGAAGCCCACCTGTTCAGTGTTTCAGCTGTTGAAAGTAGTTCAGGCTAGCTTCTTACTTCCTTAATGCTATCCTGACACAATTTTGTCTTGCTGCTTAATGATATCCTCTCATTTTGGGTTTATCTTTTCCAACTAACAGAACAGCTCTGATAAAACCTCTTCCCATGAAGAGTTTTTGTCAATTGCCCATCTTCAAGCTACACTCTTCAGCACTTCAAGGCTACTACTTTTTCACTTAGGAGCTTGTTTATCCTTTCCAACTGCTAGGATCTCTGACTCTCTCACTCAATCATTAGTATACAAGACAGGGTTAAATGGAACAAGCTGGTTCAGGCTTCTTAATCTTCAAAAGTTAGACTGCCCTATTGGACAGGTAGTGGTACACAGTTCTGGTTATGTGCAGATAGGAGGCTAAGAAGTCTACAGAACTAGTTTTGCATTGGCATCCCACAATTCTCCTCAAGGGTTCAGAGGTGAAGATACTTTTGGTCTTAATTCTGAAGTTGTGTTGATATGGTACTGTTTCCAGATCATACTGGGAGAAAAGATACTCTGTTTCCAAAACGCTGCCATGAAAAGCTTTAAGAAACAAATAAGGGCTTTGCTACAGATAGACCATACAGAGTGGTGTTCGCATCCTAAGGGTTCTGGTGCTGGCAGGGCTGTCTGGCTTCCTTAGAATCTGTATAGGTAGAGCTCAATAGTCTTCTGGCCTCTTTAAATGTTCACTCTTCCCAAATTACTGCTGAATTACCTGCCTTAAATAAGGGAAAACCAGCACTAATCCCTGAAAGGTTACAACGTTTTCTAGTTTGCAAATCAGTCACTTCTGCCATTTTTAGGCTTTGATTTCATAGTACAAAGGTGGAAAAACTGTATGGAAGGTGACATTTTCCCTCATCCCACTTCAGATTTTAAGTGTTTGTATAACTGATTTATCCCAGAAGGATGAGCGTTGAACAGTATTTTTGTACTTTTTACATGGAAATCGATAAATTAATCCATAATGATTCAGAAGTTCTCACTGATGTCCTGTGCATGCATACAGCATATGCTGTAGGACATACTTATCAATTTGTGGTATCACTCACTCCTTGTTAGTACACACAGTAAATTATGTGCAATGTGAGGAAGCTCAAGCTGTATTCTGTTCTCATTTGTGCAGGCTTGCATGTATGTGTCTCAGTAACATAGCTAAAGCGGTAAATTTAATTGTCATCCTGATATAAACAAGGAGAAATTCACTGCCTTGAAATGTTTGAGACAGCATAAACTCTGTTTAAATTATGACATTTGGTCTGCTGAATCTGATGCTCTGCTACAGATGTGTAGATTTCAATTCCTGTACTAAGCTGAAAAACATGAATTAAGTAATTTTTAGATTATCATAAAATGTGAGTGTGTAGATTGAAATGTTGATCACTAAGTAGTATTTCTGATATATTAAAATATTTTTCCCTGATGTTTTCAAGTTCTCAGAGAAAATGTCCTAGAAGGTAATTTCAGAAATCATAAAATGATTGTTTCAATTCTGGAAAAGATGCTTGCCGTTTAAATAAAATCTAAAAGCACTGAGTTTAAGATTCAGTTGCTGACTATGACATCATAACTCACACAACCTCATTTGCAACGTTTAATTTGATTGTATTTCTGCTGTACTCTAGTCCCGTAACGTGTTGAATGATGTCTAAATGGGGAAGAATGGCTAACGTGTCTTTCTCAAACATTAACCTTAAATGGAATTAAATGTCTGTGCAACATTCTAGCTACACTGAGGTTGTGAAGAGGCGAGGTCTGTAGCAGTAACAGATTTCAGAAGTAGCCTCATGGTGGCACTGTTTCTACTTAACAGTCGTTGCTGTTCTGCTCAGGAACTGAAATCCGAGGCGGCAGAAAATGCATTGTGTTTCTCGAAATGTGTGGTTTAAGTTCAGTGAAATGAATCATTTTCAGGAGGATGTAGTTCCAACGACAGATAGTTACAGTGACGTGCTGACGAGCTGTAATGGCACTACACCTACAATTTGTTGAGAACAGAGTTGGCCTTCAAGTCAGGTTTATGGCAAGGCAGCAGGGTGTAATTACCAAAACAAAAAGAAACAGATACTGTATGTCATCCCCTACTAATGACCACAACATTTTCTTACCCAGTAATCTGTAACAAAAAGCCACATAAATGACCAGACTCCACTTAAGTACAACACTAAAGAAAAACTTGGTGGCACAAAATTATTCCAGCCAATTGAGTGGAAATGATAGAGAATAACATGAAGTTATCTTTGGCAGGGAGATGTGTGTTTGGAATGTCACAACTGGACAGTGCATTGAGAGCGCAAAGCTTCCTTACAGGCACACAGCAATCTATGTAAGTATAGCAACTTTTCATAGAATATCTCTGTTCATTGCAAGGGGAGTTTTGGTTTCTTAACAATGTTTTTCAGAAACGTACAGTTTTAAATGTATATACCTAATACAAGAAAAAAAACTGTTGCAATATAAGTAACATGTTATTTTTTCTTTTTTGACTACTTTCTAAGAAAATAACTGAGTTTATGTTCCTCTGATCTCCTTAAATCAAGCTGCTTTTTAAGCCTCAAATGTCTGAAATGCAATATCAAGTAACTTATTGTAAAATTTGGGCATCAGGTGTCAAAGCGAAGGTGTTTTAATCTTTACTTTTGTTGTGTTAAAATTGCATGGAAACTTCAAGTTCAGTGTTGGCTTTTTGGTGACATATTTTGAAAGTACAAGCAATCTAGCCTAAAGTTGTAAGACAATCTGACAAAGATCTTGTTTTTAAATATTTGAAAGGTTTTGATGCCTAACTGCTGACCTCCAAAATAATGCTCTGCTCCACTTCCAAAAAGATACTTTTATTCATTGCAGAACTTGGAACAGATCCCTTATTTTCAGAGGCCAAATTGCTTTAAATATTACTTCAGATAATTTCAAGTGTCTACTTTGAACTGTATCCAGGTACACTAAATATCTAGATGTTGGAGTATGAGGATGTTTGAAATACATGTGTGTGTATGATTGAGGAGCCCAGCATGTATAGATCTGATTCAGAGTGATGGCTTATTTCTAGATATTAATAGAAGAGCTCAGGGCTCATAGGTTAATTAAAATGCTGTTTTTCTTCAGTGAGGAAGTCTAGGGTGGAACCTAAGTCTCTACATGATGGAAATCTGAGACCTAATGTAACTCAAAATATGGCCAAATTGAGAATCAAAACATTCTAAAGCTTCCAGAAGAAACACTGGTTTTCATTACACTGTTTTTGTTGACATGAGCTCAAATACAGTTGTTAATGATAAAGGGAAGAGAAAAAAGCTTGGGTAATTACCAAATAAAAATTATGGGAGGTTAAATTCTTATTTATTTATTTTTACATGTGTGTGTGTATATATATATATATAAAAACGTGGATTAAGTTATTCTTCTAGAATTATTTGTGTTTAAAGCAATAAAATAATTTTATACATCTATGTATATACACACATAAAACAGTACTTCAATTATAACAGATCTGCAGTGTGATCTGCTTTGTGGCATTGCTTTATTGGATCTTAATAGCCAGAGATATGGAGGAGTTCTGCAGAGAAGTAGGCAGATCTGGCCTAGTGGATTACCTGACAATCTTTTTTGTAGAGATCAGAGGCAGAATCTTCATTCTTATCCTTCTGTGAGGAAAAGCTCAATAATTCTTGTAAAGAATTATTATTTCTCCTCTATTAGTAGAAGCGAGCTGAACCTAAATTTGGCAAGAAATTATTTTTTTGTTCTATAACTTGAGCAAGATAGTTAAAAATAGGAACATCTAACAGGAAAAGTTTCTTAGGAAAAAGAATAGGTGGTGTTAAAAGTAAGAACTATTCTTAAAATGGAACCTTCAAATATTTTTAGTTGATTTTGGTTTTTTGTAAGGGCTTTTTGGGTGTTGGGGTGTTTTGGTTTTGTTCTGTTGTGGCTTTTTTTTTTTTGTAGCACCCCTATTGCTTATGGCATAATAGTACTTGAGAGAGTATAACTTCTTACAAGATGTTAATGTCTGGGTAGGTTTATTGCTTACTGAATTTGATAACACCATTTAAATTTGTTGCTTTATTTTTAGGTCATGTTTCAGTAGGTTTTAATTAAACTACTAACTTATCTGGTCTAGAAGGTTCCCTTTGTTTGGTGTAGATGATTCAGATACAAATGGCAGATGTCAAGAAGTGCAAACTGAATATTTGCCATTTGAAATGAAGTTTAACACCAGGGTCAACCCTTAACCGTTTGTGGGTCTTAACCAGTGTGGGATTCTCTCAGAGGACTGACTGCACAAATCTTCCAGTTCAAGCCTAATTTAAAAGTAACAGTAATTACAATTGGATCCTACTGCTAAGCATTTCTGCCTCTGATCATTCATAATACCTACGGTAGTACTTATTCTATTCCCAGTTATTTATGGCTCTTTTGTTTTCAGACTTGTTAGTTACCTGATAGACAAAGAATTATCTAAGCAAAACTGAATGTACAGAGAACTTGTAGTAAATTAGAATTTTGCGTGTCTCTGATATTTGTTGGACTGTTCCCTTTACTTTAAGGATAGTATTTACTTGTAAATACCACTTGAGGTGGCTGCTGATGCATTTAGAACTACATTACGCTTCAGTGTTACACAAAATGCAAATGTCCTTACACAATAAAACAACTAGCAAAAAAAAAAAAAATCTTTGTAGTCACTCAGCACTGCTGTCATCTGTGTTTCCTAGCACTTTCCTATGTCTCTGTTTGCTTTCCATGATTGTTGAGAAAGAGTGAATCTTCTGAACTCTAAGGGATTTAATGTCAAAATGAAGGATATTTCATAGAGTAGAAATTCTTCCTGGAAAATAATGGAAAATTCATTCTGGATCTTCTGCATTTTCACTTTCTTCGTCTTTGTGTACCTGTTGAAATTGGAGCTTTATCAGCTTTTTGGAGAGAGATAAGGCCTCTCAGAAACAAGGCTCAAACTGTTTAGTAACTTATAGTGAAAATTAACACCTTGATTGCTTCCAAAATTTGTAACACTTAGGGAGGGGAAGATAGTTTTCCATGTGAAGCACCTCTTAGTAAGCTGTACGCTGTATTAGATATTTATAAATGTATGTAAAATGCTTGTGTCACTAGCAAAATTATGTATGGCCTCACATGTGCACCATACTTTTAGTAGTGCTACAAGTGTTTATTCTAATTCCAAGTATAACATGTGCACACCTATTTTTTCACATTAAACATTCGTGTTGCTCTGTGTTTTGATTCTCTTCTTTCCACTTCTGCAGTATTACCATTGCTCATTCCGAATGACAGGTGAAGGCTGGCTTCTTTGTTGTGGAGAATATCAAGATGTTCTTATCATTGATGCTAAGACTTTGAGTGTTCTTCACACTTTATCATCATCTCAGTCTTCTGATTGGATAAATTGTATGTGTATTGTACACTCTGCAAGAGTTCAAGGTATACTTGTAGATGTATTTATGTAGGACAATTAAATTGTGACAAAATATTTCCATGTAGATAGCACAATCCTACTAGACATAATGTGTAATGATGTTTTACAGACCTGTTATGTACTACTGACAGGACCTAAGAACATGTTTCTAATACTCCTAATGTTGGTCATGTTTTGTTTAATATGTTTCTTAAAGAGAAAAACAAGCAACCTCCATACTGTTTGTAAGCAGCTCATGTCTTGGACATAAGTACAAATTCATTGTGCGATATCAGGGAAATCAAGGGCACAAAACCACTGTTGTATGTTTTCTATTGAAATATATCTGATGGGACAAAATTATTCACTATTTGATTGCTTATTTTGGATTCCTCTATACTAATTAGTAATTTTTCTGTAAAATTAATATTTGATCTAAAGTGTCCTGCAGAATCCATAATTTAGTGCTGTATAGAATACCAGTATCTATGCCAAGGTTCTCTTTTGGTGGTAAGCATGGTGTGTAGCTGGTTTCAAGGTGACTATCTTACTGTTAACTTTTCACAGAAGACTCATTGGTTGCAGTGTCTGTAACGGGAGTTCTTAAAGTGTGGGACCTGTCTTCGTCTTTGAATAGCATACAGGTTAGTTTGTATGAGATGTGAAACAGCAATTTGAATGATAATATGAATGTAGTATAATATTCTCACGTGAAGAATCTATTGAAGTAAATATGAATAAATTATAATCTTCTGGTTATGTTAAACAGAACTGACTGATTTTGTCACATGATTCTGTAAACAAATCCTCATAGTGCTATTTAAATTGGGCCCTTGGACAGCTTTTGCCTTGACAAGTGCAGTGTCCTTCATCTGGACTTCTTGTTTTTCCATGTTTCATGATGCTGTAGTTGTAATGTTTTCTTGCTGTCCTGATAATGTCATTCCATTCCTTGAACTCTTTCACTGTCCTTTAAACTCAGAGCTCTTCAAAATTGGCCTTTGTGCTCCCTCTTCACCTTTGTTACTTTCTTCATAATGTTCCGTTAGACCTTTTCCTCTGTCTACCTTCCATAATTCTGTCTTCACTTGAAAAAGGCTCTTGATGTGTCAAGGACCCTACTTCTCAATCTTCAAACTTGCTTATTCTGTGTGACATCTGTCTTAATACTCTCAGCAGCTGTTACTTGACATGCACAAGTGCTGGAGTTTGAATACAGTATTTTGTGTTTGAAATGAACTCTGAGAGCTAGATTTGTGAAGGAATCTCAGCCTTAGAGCAAGTACTATGAATCCTCAACAGAAATGACAAAATGTTGTCTCCTTTGAGTATCGTAATACATTACTGCCTTGCTTGGCAAACTAGAGAGAATGCTGCAGCACTACTTGATAATGGGTAGAATCAGGCCTCTTAGGAGAACCTGTTGAGTTTGACACCGTACCAGTGTTTTTGTGATGTTTTTGGTTTATCTTCAATGTTTTGGGGGGATCTTTTCAACATTCTTATGGCAAAAAATACCGTCATGCTGCAGAAATTCTGGGGACTGTAACAACAGATTACACATACCAGAGAAGCATATATGGTACTGTGCCATCCTTTTACTACCTGAGGCCTTTGGTGAAGAGAGGAGTGTACAGTTAGTAACTATCCAGCTATTTCATATTTTAAAGAACGGTGTTCTAATAAATAGTGTTTGATTTAATTGGAATTAGTTGGAGCTATGTGTATTGAATGAATGGTTTTCAGTTTGGTAGCTATGATTCTATGACCAGCATCTACTTTTTTGAGAGATTTTGATACTTTGATCTTTCAAAACAGAAAAATCTCAGTTTTCAGTGATTTCATTAATAACTAATAAAACTAATCCCAGGGTAATAGTTGTGAGCCTGATGGCCTAGTAAGTCTGATGTTCACACAGAAAGGATGAAAATGTATGTCTTTTTAACCAGTCTTTCAGCAACATGAAACTAAGAAAGCTACTTTTCCACTAATTTTAGAGGTGTTAAGTACAAACAAGATGTGTGGAAACACCTTATATCTCAGACTGTGCTTACTGCAGCAAGGATGAGTGGGAAAGCAGAATATTCACCAGCCATTCTGAATTTGGTACTATGGCTTGTATGTGGTTGTAGCTATGTTTTTTTGACTGAACACTTAGCAGATATTCATTACAGCAGATGCTATCTGTGACCTGCCTTTAGTCCTTCTCCATATTCATGATCACTTTAAGTGAGATTAAGGTCTGAGCTGTGCTGAATGTCTTTGGCTTACTGGTACTTCCAAACCCTGCTGTCTTCCTATCTCACTTTTAATTAAGAATTATATGCTGCTTTGCAGTTTGAAAGTGTATGTTAACGAAGTTATTTTCAGTGGTTTGTTTCAATCCTAAACGTAAAGTTCAGATGTGTAGAACAAATCTTACAGCTTTTTTCCTCTGTGCTGTAAAGGAGAGACATACTGTGTGCGAGAAGGAATCAAAATCTCTGGATTGTGTAAATTGTCAAGCAGTTCGGTTTTGTACTTACACAGAAAGACTCCTCTTGGTTGTGTCCTCCACGTGCTGGCAGGTACATGATTGAACATTACACATTTTTTTGATTTTGTTAATAATTTTGTAAAGTTAATCTGATTTTTACGTGCAGATACTTGTTTTTCTCCTCACTTTAAAAAAAGTGTTCACTGATTGTCAGATGTAGTAGTGCATTGTATCTCTTCTTTGTTGACTCTTAACTGCCTGACTGAGCTGAAGAGTTAATTTTTCATTAAAGTATTTATGCTTTAAAAAATCAAAATTAAATTGGCTGGGTAGAAAGGGCCTCACTTTATTAGTCTGTTTTAGAGCATTACAGTCCCCTCCACAGTGCCTTTCACAAGGAGACAAAGATGTACAAAAACTGTTTTAAGTATGGCAAGAGTAATCACAGTTGGCAAGTCCTTGGTAACTAGGGGCCTTTGTTCCATCACAACCAGTAGCCTTGCTTCCACTAATAGAAGTGTGCAAAACCAAAGACCCCAGACTACATAATTTTTTCTTGTAGCTGAAAGAAAAGCATCATCTAGTTATTGAAACTGTTATTAGTTTAAATTTTATTTGAACTGATCTTTGTTGTAAAAATTCTGTATATCTTTTTCTGTGTTATAACATCCGTCTTATGTTATAGATGAATATTCTATATTCTAGACTAATTTTAGAATGCTATATTTCTAATAGAATTAGAATCTATATTCTAAAGTAATAGTCTGAGCTACTAGTGCAACATATGTACCTGATCCAACAATGGCTATTGGGGGTGCAGCAGAAACTCCATGTACACCAGCGTTAATATAGTTGTAAAGTATCCTTGAGATTTTCTCTTGGGTTGTGTAAAAGAAAGTCTGTACAGAAGGATTTATGAAGAAATTCCAGGTATAGAACAGATAGGCATTTAATGGAGAAATCTGTAATGTGTATTGTTCTCTGTTAACGTCTATAACACTTTTCCACAAATGGTATACGTTTCTTGTAGTATTTTCATCATATGTTTGAATACTTATATTTTCCTGCTTAAAGTGCTATAGATACAGAAGTAATGTTGTATTTTCAACTTCTGTTTGAATGACTACACAACTTTAATATTAAAAATGATGGTGATATTACCACATTTTTTAATAAAGGAGTATGAAGCATAGGAGAGATTCACGTGTGTTTAGAGCAGCTCCTTAATCCAGTTCTGTAGTAATGAAAATACAGAACATATTACCTAAAAATTAGCTAGTTAATAGAAATCAGCTACAAATAATTAGTAGAAATTTTTATTCTGAAATCTATTTCTTATACTGATGCAATAACTTATAAAATTGTGGCTATGAATACTTTCTCCACGAGGGTACCAGGAATGTGACCAAGCAGGCAAAATTCCAGGTTGTCCTAGTCATACCCTGTTTCAGTTTAAAATGAAGGTCTGAGGAACCAAAGAAGTATTTTTTTTTTTTTTTTAACCAGCTCTAGAAATGGAAGTGAGAAGAGCCCTTGCAAAGGGGATTATATGTTCTTTGTGTTCAATTAATTTGTAAAAAAGGAAAAATCTCAGTTCCTCCCCAAAGTTGAAAAGAAGCAATCTGCTTTGTTAAAATGGGTTGTTTGTCAGCAGATGATCATTTAAAGAATACAGACAGAAGCGTTTATAGCTTCTATTAAAGTCTATGATGTCATTTGTGCTAAGTTTCTTAAATACCTGTTTGTAAGAAAATAGTCTACTAAGTGTTAATGATGGATGCAAGGCAAAACAAGGTAAATCTCATCCAAAATCCCCTAATATAACAGAAGGCTCTAATGCTGCTTTTTTGGCCGTTTTTTTTTATCTTTGAAATGTATGGTTTCATTCTGACTTCACAGTAGTTTGATAGTATGAAACTGCCTTGGCTTTAAAAGAGGTAGCCGAACTAAAAAAGCCAGGCTAATGTTCTGCTTATTGACTTATTGTCCCAAAACAGGTTGAATAAAAATGAATGTGCCAATACTGTTTATGTTCTGATGTTTTTCTGAGCTTAGGTCTATGATTACTGTGACTTCTCCTTGCTTTGTACTGAGTTCTGTAAAAGCGGACAGTGCTTTGCTGGTGGTGATGTACTAGCAGCTTACAGACTTATCATCTGGACAGAAGATGGCCACAGTTACATCTACCAGCTGCTAAACAGGTGGGCTCAGATGGGAAATTCACACAAGAAGTTCAGGTACTAGATGAACTCTGGGTGGCTTATTATGGAAAATCTCTGCATGTTGCAAATGATCAAAAACCAGAACAAAACCACTTTGGCACTTGAAGATTTACCCTGAGTTTGACAGCCCTCAGTCTTTGTTTGACACAGCAGGGGACATGGGAATAAGATTAGCCATGTAGAACTTGGGCAGCTGGTGCTGTGATTTCAAAAAGTCTCTTGTAATTCCTTATTCAGTAACTTTCAGTTGAACTTGTGAATCTTGGACGCTATTGTTCTGCTTTCTAGAAAATGACTTTCTAAAGATTTTAATTTTTTTTAATTATGCAGTGGGCTTTCTAAAAGCATATATCCTGGTGATGGGAAGGTGCTGAGAGAAACTGTTTATCCTCACTTACTCTGCTTTACTGGTGTAAAGGAAAATAAGGTAAATTCATAAAGGTTTACAGTGAGCTTCCAAAGTTTGTTCATTACTTCAAAAGCTTGGTTATTTGTTTGATATTACCTGAATAACTCCTAAAGTTTAATTCATCAACAGATTTAATTGTTCTAGGAAAAAGTGAGTAAGACTTACTCCTTAATTTTAAGATTTTTATTTGGAGACTTAGAGATGTTCATAGCAATTTTTTTTTTTGTCTTAAATTCTGGCAATATTTTTTTTTCACAGAGGAAAAAAAAATCCTGTATTTTCAGCTAAGATAGGCCAATTCTTGAGTCTTTTTTTTCCCTAATTTTAGCAAAAAAGGGAGAGCTTAAAAAGTTGTCTAAAATAACTTTAGAAGCTTTTAATTTCAAATGAGTAAAAAAACAAAACAAACAAACAAACAAAAAACCCCAAACCAAACAAAAGAGCCAACCCACAAGCAAAATGTAAGCAACTGCTTAGTTCTCGTTTTATTAAATGTATGTATGTTTCTATGTAACTACACAAATAGGTCGTTTCCCGTTTGTATGCATTCAAAATTGTAGGCATTTGAATCTGTGATATTTTCCCCAAAATACTGTTATCTTGAGCCTTCAGAGGCATAATCACATGCCTAACTTATGCTGTGGGCACAGACTGACATTACTCTGTGCGTAAAATGAGACATGTGACTCTTTAGAATCCTGTCTCTGCTGGAAGAAGCCTATAAGTTTAAGAACAGAGGAAGGTAAAAGTGTAGGTGATCTTTATACTTCTGAGAACTCACTTTTAGCAGAGTGTGTCACGTGAATTTAAAATTTAGAAGTTACTCCTTAGACTAAGTAGCTCGAGTGGTCTCAGCTATGTTGGAAAACCTGCATCTTGACTCAGTTCTTGAATAGTGCTTTGTGTGACTACAAATAAATAAGGGAAACCAGTTGATTTAAATGCTAGAAAATTGATTAGAAATAAATAGTAAGGGGAAAAAAAATCTGTAGTGTGGCTCTTAGGCAAAAATTAAACCCAAACAAATATAACAGATTTTTCTGTGTAGCTTTGGTTCTGTTTTTATTGCTAGGTCTTTTTGCTTAAACTATTTATGAAATAAATTGTGGAAAGATGTGGATTTAATTCCTGCCTGCAGGTGCATTAGTTTGTGTATTTGCATGAGAGCTCAAGCAGATCTTTAAATAGTTTCTAAAGATATGCAAGGGAGACCTTTATATTTTTACCTGAAAAGAAATACTGTCAAATATATACCTGTGTGAGGTTTTCTGTGTTCTTTTTACTTTGCTGACAAATATAGGCTCTTAGAAAGCATTTTTGTTGCATACTCTTGCCAAGCCTGGCAGATGTAATTTTCAGTTGAAAGGCAATAGCACAAGCCATTCAGCCTTTCTCAAGTGCTGTGATCTAAAATCAGATAGGATAACTGCTGAAGGATGCAAAAAGGTTAGAGCAAAGGAAAAGAAATAGCCCAAACACATGACTTGGCAAATAGGGTTACAGTGGTGGTAAGAAGCTCATACATGCTTCTCCCAAAACATATGCGTTTTAAAAGTATCACCTGCAATTTGCTGAAGTATCTTCTTTCATATTTATCTTACTGCCTGAATAATTTTCATAGCAGATGTGTGAGACAGCAAAAGTGCTTCTGTGATCATCTGATTTGATCTCTGCTCTTAGATTATAAACTCAGCCACATTGTTTACTTACAAACTTATGTGTTGGATATATTTTATTTATAACATTTGGAGATGTTATTAAAATGTCTTAAAGGAACAAGCAGTCACAGTCTCTACACTAAGTAAAAGTGATGTGTGGAACAAAACAGTTTATGCTGATGACCTTTTCACACATCAACTGTACAAGTTATGCTTCTGGGGTTTTTTGGTGAGGGTTTTTTTTTTTTTTGTGTGCTCCTGCATACATTTCCCCAGATGATTTTCATGCAAAAAGTAAATCTAAGCATTCACTTCCAAAGTACATGCCTGGCGTAAACTCAAATGTACTAATGTAGATATATGTGGGATTTACCAATTTTCTTGACACTTGTGAGAGTTTTGAGCAACTAGAAGCTTCCCCTTAGACATATCAGCTGGTTTTAAGAGCTTGATGCTTGAGAGTGAGCTTATGTATCAACTAAATGGGACATTATTGGCAAATCACCAGAAGATTATCACATTATTTTACTGATGTGACACAGAATTCTGTGGTGTTATACCTAAAAGCAAAGAAAACTTAAAGACTTTTAGTCTTCATGGGAAAATAAAATCATGGTGTTTGTCTGTGATAAATACACCACAATAAGTTTTATTATTGACTAAATGAAACAATGTAGATGTCAGTAAGTTTGTTTATCAATTAGATTATACCTCTGTAGTATCTAGGTTTTCCAGATGACTGAATTAATGTTATAAATTGCTTACTGCCTATGTAAAAGTGTAATTATTTTTCATTAGCTGTAGTAATTTAAACTATCATGATTGAAGCTTGACTGAATTTGTTTTGATGCAAAGTTTATCAGTGTTTCACTGCATTTTATTTTTTTTTTTTTTTTTTCACCTGGGTCTTGGTGCTTATGCTGCCATCTTTTTGCATGCTGGTGATACTATTGATAGATTCTCTATTTAGAGACAGTAAACATAGGGAGCCTTCCTGTTCCACTTTTCCATTTGGGATGTAAGCTTAGCCGAGGATACTGGCAAAGCAAATGTGGTCTTTGAGAGGCTTGTACCAGCCATTGTAGACCTGGTCTGAGCAGAACTTAGTGGCAGATGGAGGGTTCAATCAGCTTTTGTTGTAAAAAAACCTTTGAATTTGCAGTTATGTTGTTTTATCAGCTATTTCATATTAGTATACTGATTTACTCTTTATTTTTGGCAGAGCTTTCCTTTTGTCATGGGCTTCATGAATGAAAGAAAGGAGCCTTTCTATAAGGTTCTTTTTTCTGGTGAAGCTTCAGGAAGGATCACTTTGTGGCATGTTCCTGATGTCCCTGTGTCAACATTTGATGGTTCGCCAAAAGGTTTGGCAATTCTGTGCCCTTGAAGGAGTCTCTTTAATTATGTCTTTAGGTCAATTTTTATGAAAACTTACTTTCTCATGGAAATATTTTCACATTAGAAAGTCATGCTCATTCATCTTGTGATGACTGCCTGTAGTTAGGAGCAAGACATTAACAGAGATGAGTGTCTAGAAATTCTTCCTGGAACTGAACATATGAATATTACCAATTCTGTGGCATCTACACATAAATGCTTCTCTTCCAAATCTCATGGAAATTTATGTAGTTGGTCCTGCTGTGTTTCTTCATAGGGAGGTATAAAGTAAAGGACTTAGTGAGATGTGATCTAATGTTGGAATAGCAACTCTACTAACCTCCCATCCCTAGGTTGAAGAAAGAAGTTAGAGGAAGTGACAAAGAAATTGTTTGCTTTTTGAAATATTATTTTATTTTGAATCAAAAATTATTAAATTCTTTACTTTTTCCCCCACACTCTAGAGATCCCAATTACGGCCATGTGGACTCTTCAGGATAATTTTGATAAACACGATTCAATGTCAGAGGGCATTATTGATCATCTATGTGCATCTAAGGATGGAATTGAAAGTGCAGTTGTCAGTTCCTCTGTATACATACCCAGACTTGATAAGCTTGTGTGTGGATGTGAAAACGGGAAAATTTTTGTTACACTAGGTTTAAAAACTGCAAGAGCAAGACTTCTAGAAAACATACCTTTGCTGAAAGGTAAGTTTTAACTTTTTTTGTTCAAATTCATCTCAGTCAAGCACAGAAGACTGCATACTTCTGACATCCCCTTCAGAGACCCCTGTAAAAATTCTCTGAAAAATAAGAGTGATGGTCAGGGATGGAATGAGGAGAATGGAAGATTATTATGCTCTCTCACTTCAGCTGATCTATTAGATCACAGCTTAGTGCAAAGCATATTGGTAGTACTGTTAGGTGTCCAGGAATGGCTGTGGAGATGGAGTCCCCTGGGAGAGATGTGTGGGATGTCACGATATGGGCAGTATCATCTTTGTCATTTTCCCTCTAAAAGATCCATCTGTTGAAGGACTAAAAAGGGGACATCTCAGGTGATGAAGCTCAGAGTGCAGGTCTTTGTCTTCCCTTTTCGGAACACATTCAAAATTTGTTGATCCCATGGAAAAGCTTGTATGGTGTCTTCTGCATCTCCTGACTTTTAGCAAATGTACTGTAAAATATGGAACCCCTATTCTTAAAGAGCAAATAATTTATGTACCATCTTGTTTCAGATCATCTACCTTACAAGGTTCTGAATGGTCATAGTAGCAGTGTCACTTGTTTGCTTTATCCACATGATAAGTCAGTAAGATTTGATCCAAGTTGGCTCTTATCAGGAGGCCAGGATTCTGTTGTGATCTGCTGGGATATATTTACTGGAGGCATCTTACACCAATTTAGTCTGCAGTCGGGTCCAGTGACAGAGCTCTTGCGATCTCCAGAAAACTACAGAGTAAGTGAAAGAATAATAAATGATGGATCAAATGAAAAGTATCTCTGTAATGTGTGTTTATGTGTATGAGAGGAAAAAACTATCTGACAATACTTTTACACTGTAACACGTAACCCTCAATGTATATTCATTTAATTTTCTTGTTTGAAAGTTGCTCTTAACTTCAGGGGGTTGATTTATTTTTTTTTTGTTATTTTGCATGTTCAGTAATTCAGAAAAATGATCCAAAACCAGTGACATGTTACATTGATGCTCTTAACAGTCTGTTTATCATTCTTGATATCATGATTATCAATCTATATGTTAATCTGATTATCTCTTAATCTCTGAAATTGAAAAGTGTAATCAGTAAGGCTGGAGGTTTGAACATGGCAAGAAAAGATTTGGAATAACAGTATTTTAACATGTATGCTTTATTTTGGACCCTGATGCATCCTATGGTCTTTTGCATGTATGCTTTTGTATTTAGAATTATTTCATGTGTTCTTAAGTGAATTTTGAAGTAAAAAGTTAGATTATTTACTGTACTGAACACTATGAAATGTTGTTTAACAAATTATATCCCCGTTGTATTCCATGGGGCTGGAATTTCATTTTTTTTCATAGAAATCCTGTGAAGACATACTTGATACTTACAGTTGGCTCAGAGTTCACTTTCACACCAACGTTAAGTAGTCCAAAAGATGTTTTGAGATGTCATAAATTCTTGCAGGAAGGGAAGGCTTTGCAGAATTGGATCTATATACTATGAACTGAAATTGTAACATAGCAAATTTTTTGTTAGAAATAAATTGTTCTTGGCTTTTGTGTCATAAGACCTGACATAATTTTATACCAGATTATCAACAGTCTAGTTTTATATAATTTTTTTTTTTTTTACTACTTCCAGGATTACTATTACTGTATATTTGGTCTATATAATCACTGTTCTGGTAGGCTAAGTACTGTGAATAAATGGTATTTAAATTATTTATTTCAAAGACTGAAAAATCAGAGGAGATTGTCTGTGTTTTCTGTCAAGAGGTCAGTTTTACAGCTAGCCTGTTAAAAACAAGTTGGTAATGTATGATGGAGGAAAACGTTTTCTGAAATTATTATGTTCTGGGAAAGAAATCACTGGACAACTTGTTAAAATGATATCATTATGACTGTGGTTAGTGTTGAAACTGAAGCTGTTTATGTTTTGCAGTTAAAAGACCACAGCATGGTGTACTGTGTGTGCAGTGATCACTCAGTAGCAATTCTACACCTTCAGAAGAGAGTATGTGTCTTACATGCCAGAAAGCATCTGTTTCCTGTGAAGAAGATAAAATTTGACCCTGTTGAAAATCTGTTAATTGTTGGATGTGAAGATGATTCAGTTTATATTTGGGAAATTGAAACAGGTAATAACAGAGGGATTTTTGGTTAATTTTTTTTTTTTTTTTTTTTTTTGCCTGTCACGTGGTGGTACACAAACCTAATTTATGGAAGACTAGAGCAGAAATAGTCACACATTGAATATATTAGAGTTTAAATGTCTATGTAGACAAGCAAGAAATAAAATTTTTAAATTACTCAAGGTACATTACTAATAAAATACAATAGCTGAAGTCAGGTCCTGACAACCAGATGATCTGCTGACATGTCAGTGAATTGAGCAGAATATTTCTGGAAGCTATAAATAAAATGTAAGTTATTCACTCTCGTTATTATAAAATGAAATTTTCAGTTCTAACAACCCCATATTAGGGCATGAATTTCTGCTTTATTCAGCAAAATCATAATCTTAGAAATCTTTTGAGTTAATTGATAATCAGTTAATAGTGGAAGATAATGGTGAAGCTCACAACTGTGTAGTCAAGAAAACTAAAGTGGAGTGTCTAAGGTTAAACTGCAAATTCCCAGGTCATTTGAGAGTGTAATTCTGATTCACAAGGATAATAAATGTAGTTATTTGAACTTTGACAGAACTATTAGAAGCTGTAATGCTACTAGGCATTGCTTCATGCAATTCAGAGCTATGTGTCCTGGGAGAGGGGAAGTGCACAATGAGTCTAGAACTATTGAAATCCACAGCATATTAATACTGTACGAAAAAAGATTTACTAATGTCACACTGAGAACAGAATTTACTTTCCAAGTTATTACAACACATCGTCTAGGCTGTCTGCTTTGGACAAAAATGTCTCTTGTTTTAAAGTACAAAATATCTGCATTTAATGAAGGACTTGGCAAAATGAATACAACATAAATTGCAAGACTGTGTTAGTAAGCTATTTAATATCATTAAGCTGGCACAGGAAATTCCTCCTGGTACTTATTATTTTCCCAAATGTACTCAGTTGCTGCTTTAAATAAGCTTTACAATTAAATTAAACTGAACTAACAGTTACAGGCAGTAAAAACCCATGGTTTTACACTGGTGTATTTTTCTACAGCTACTAAAAAGTATGATATTTTCTTATGGAATACTCATATTTGCATGATATTTTGAGACTTAAAAGTTCTCTTAATCTGTTTTCAAAGACATCAGTAAAAATTGGGACTCTTAGGTTGTATATAGTGTATTTATTTTTCTTTGTCTTATTGTTGCTGAGTGACTCTATGATTTAGCTTAGAATTTTAGCTTTGTTGCAATACTGGGTAAAAGAATACCGGGTCTAATTTTAAAAAGTAAATACTAGATTGTGAATTTAGGTTATTCCAAACTTATTATGCTGCTGTTATTATTTCCTGCTTAACTTTGGATTGTGTTTTCCAGTAAATACTTAAGCTATATGACTTTTAAGGAGAATGTGTGTTCTCCTATTTATGCAGATGCATATTACAATTTTCAGTGCATTTTCTCCAGTCAGGAGGGAGCATCCTTCTGAGTAGTCAACTTCCTGGAGGTTTTGTGGAACAATGTCTTGGGATCCTTCCTCCTGTCTCATTATTCCTCTAATCCCTTCATTTTACTAGTCTCTGTAAACACCTCCACGGTATTGTAAATTGTTACTTCTTTCTCCTCTTTTCTCCTCCCTCTAAAACGAACCATGTTTCCTCTCCAGTGTGTTCTTTTCTGTTCCTAAAGGTATTAGGAGTTCTCATGATTAATTCCCTCTGTAATGGCAAAATGCACTTTATCTATGAAAATATAATTTCTGTTAACATTAAAAGCTGTAGGCTCTATCTGCTCTATACTTTAGCATAAAGTAAATAAACCAGCAAAAATGAGGAATTAATTTGATTATTATCATTGCCTAACTGCTGGTTTTGTAGCAATTGCCATAAAGTCACCTTTAGTCTAATGGTAAAGTATCACAGATAGAAGGGAAATAATGTACTAAAGCCCTGTGGCAACTAAAGGAAAAGAGAATAGGCATCTAAATTTTCAGCAATCATTAATAAATGTATGTTTTTATACAAAAGTTTGTAAAGATGCTACCAGTTTCTAGACACTCTGTGTACATATTGTGATTTTAAAACTAATGTTGAAAGCAGTTGAGAAATTTAAATGCGGGAAATGTTAATTCAGAATGTTTTTTCACTTCACAACTAAAAAGGACACTTCTCAAATGTCAGTGCAACACTTTCTTAGAAAAAAAGTCAACCTAACAAACCCCTAAGATTGTAAGCCATCATAGTACAAAAGTTTAATTTAAATGTTGAATTATTCGCAAAGGTTACTTGTAGAGCTGTAGAGGAATCATGAAGAAATGTGTGTAGTTAATATCAAGGCTTATCTTTACTAGGATTTGTTGCACACTAGTGTCTGCAGGAGGTTTGTGGTGTGCAACAGAATTGTTCTTGTGCACTATGAAGGGGGAGTTATGTTTTGTACTTTCAGAAAAACAGAACATCTTTATTTTGGCTTATATTTTTCTTGGAAAGTTGTGTTCTGGTAAAAATTTTGAATATTTGTGTATATCCCACGTGTAAAATCTATGCAAGTTCCCAATTCTTTACTTTGTCAGCCTTTCAGCATTCTTTTACTTTACTATTAACTAGAAAAAGTGCCTGACAGGTCATAGGTATTCCAGACTTCTGGGCCTAAGTAAATAATTGCTAAATAATTCATTGTGTCACTTTTAAATTGAAACTTTTGGCTGTTGATTTAAAGAAGTCATCTGTATATGCCTAAGAAAAGACAGTTCCGTGTGAGGTGTTAGAGTAGGCCAAGTCTACACTGTTCAGAATGGTGCCTTGCAGGATTAAATGGTACATAAGCAGTGTATGCCCTTGAATTAACTCCTGACAGTGGGGATCCTTTTATCCCCACAGTGTGATGCAGTGGGATTCTTCCTTACTTAAAAAGAAACAACACTCTCCCCTGGGGAGGACAAAAAAACCCCCAAACCACCAACAAAAAAACACCCACCACCAAAACACAAATCCACAATACTTGCTTTTCCAAATTCCTGGACAGTAAGTATTGTGGAATGTCTTCAGTGTTGCTGCTTTGTGTGCTTAACAACATGGAAAATTATTTTGGCTCTAGTTCTACAGAGATGCAAAAATGTCCAAAAAGTGCTGCACTCAACAGTGTAAGAAGTTTCAATCACCATACAATGCAGAAGCAGACCAAAAGTTAAGGCTCTGTAGACAGAATTACATCCTGAAGTGCAACTTTTAGTATAGCTAGATAACTTCACATTAAAGTATAGTGAATTCTTTGTGAATCAGTGAGATTTAATAGCATAGGACTGTAATGGCACCATAGAGACAAAAATAAGAGTATATTTTAACTGTCCTTTAGCCATAAAAATGCTGCCTATTTCAAAATGAGAGAGGAAATAAAATTGATTCCTCTGCTCATGTATATTACATGTACAGATGATTAAAAGTGCAGGTGTTTTCAGTGCAGTTTCTGTATCTTTTGTTACTAATATCAAGAAAGAATGAGAGCTAGAGTCACGATTTCTTAGGGAAAAGCTGGAATGCAAAGGATTAAGTTACTTGCTGCAGTAGCAATTAACAGATTTGGGTTTTTTTTTTGTTCCTGTTATGCATTGGTAACAGGATGCCATCTGCGATGAATACCTGGGAAAACCTACTAGGATCCACTGTGGTTGGTTTAATATTGAATTGTATCTGATTTGGAGGAGAACATGAGAGATCATGATGTTGAGCCTTGAAATTGGCCTGACCTAGATCAAGAGCTATGTAGATACTTCAGTGCCACTCAGGCAGACAAAGCACTGCTCAGATGTGTGGGAAGGATGTATACAGCATCACAGACAAAATTCTACAGAAATACAGTAGCCTTTTATTATGCTTTTCATCTGTTGGCAAATGAACAGGTAGCCATGCATAGTACCACTTGCCTACACAGCTACCTGTGAGCACGTTGCCTGACTCTGTTAAATAGTCTAAGTAGTAGCCTTCTGCTTGGACTCTATTTCACAAATGGACAGAAGATAAGTTTTTGTTGTTTCTTTGTGTAGTCAAAACGTGTTTTTCTTCTGGCTGTGCGGTTAGCTTCGTTACTGAGGGTTTGCCTCTTCAAGTGAAAGTCAGTGGATGACCTGATTTTGTCAGACTCATATATTACTGTTTGCAGTTAAAAAAAAAAAAAATAAAACTGAACAGTGTTACTGTACTAGAGTTAATGGATAACTGGGAAAACAGCCAGTGTGTTTATAATTTCAGGCTGTGGATTAAAGAATTTTCATGAATATTTCAATATTTAAACTGCTGTAGAGTCAGCAATAATTTTGTTGAATTTGAGAGATGACTTCAAAACAAGTTTAGATGCATCTAGTACCTATGACCATCTTCCAGTTGTATCAATTTATCTCCAAAACTGTCCTTCCACTAGGTAATTTAGAAGATGACCCCTTAAGCAAGGGAAAGGCTTTATTATGCATAACACTTATCATCCCATTTCCCATGAAAGAGTCTGATGCACTTGTACAAAAAGCTTTCTGAAGTTTTAAAAATATTTGAGTTGTCTTTTAGCAGGTTTTCATAATAGTTCTTTTATAATTTATGGGTTGGGAGAAACTTTGTTGCATAAACTAAAATTGACGCTAGTAGTACTTCAGGTACTACTTGTACCTTCTCTTCGTGAGATTGCCAGAATACCTTATTTTGCATGGTCGTTGGCAAGTTGCCCAAGTACAATGGGCTGCCTTTATTCAAAATAAACACTTAGTATAGTTTATGCTGAAATATATTAAATACTGAGTGTAGATGACTTCAAGTGTAATGTAACTTGTCAAACTTGAGACTTCTATCTGTACTAAAGACTTCTACCTGTGAGCTAGTGGTTCATGTTCTTTCTGTAAGGATCAGGAAGAATTAGGAGTAACTAAGTATCTCTTTTCCCCACTGACTACACGGGGAGTCTAAAGAAGTGGGGGTGGGGAGAAAACAGCAGGTATTTGCCCAAATCTATTACACATCTAGAAAAAGTTGAATC